CCTATAAAAAGGTAGTGCAACATATTTCTGTAATTTTCCCTAATTTGTTACAATTTGTGCTTATTACAGTTTCATGAAAGTTTCTTAAATTTTTTTAAGCATACTTAAGTCATTGATAGTGCTGGTTTATCCTTGGCATGTGAGCCTGACTTACCCAGAAAGGGTGATGTATCTGTTTTACCTTCCTCTTCCAGCCAATTTCATCATAGGATTCCCATGAAGTGGCTGAGAAATTGGTATTGTGGCTCTGTTACCCAATACAGAGTTCCCAAGTATATTCTTCATACACTTTTACTTTGAGATCAAACTTTGAGACTACTGTAAATCTGCTATGACTCCAGGATGTATCCAGATGATACAGTCATATATATTTCTAGCACTAGATCCCAAAACGTCCCAAAATGTCACTAAATATTTCTATTTGTAATTTGTGAAATTGATTTTGCTTTTTAAATCAAGAGTAGCGTATAAATAAAATTAATTCTTCTGATAAGAATTTCCTGACTTACTCAGAGGAATAACCAAGCAGGAAAGCTAAACATGATAAATTCTTCTTCACATGAAGTCTTTATTTAAAGAGTGCATATCTTAAAAAATATCCAATTTATAGATTAGTTGAAGGAATTTGTGGTTGAGTTACTGTGACCTTTGTTATGCACGAGGTCAGATCAATTATCATAATGGTCCCTTCTGGCCATGAGTTGTGAATATGTTAATTTTAGCTCAATGTCCTCTTTCTCTGAGGGCGAAGCTGGCTGAAATGATATCACATTTTCCACTTTAGGAATAAAGGCACAGACACAGTCACTACCACTGAACTGGTGTGCAGTGCAGTATTATCACAAACTTACTGCTGTGTATATCCAAACCTTTAATCAACCAGTTGGTAAGTCAGTTTCCCATAGGGTCATGAATTATTACTGATATCCCAGATGATCCCAGCCTTGAAAAACTTCAACATCTAGAAACAATTGAAAATGCACCTTCCTTTTGGTACAAATGTTTAAATGCCTGTTCAGGAGTTCCTCTTGCATTCTACTCTTGCTTATTTTTGTATTTTAGGAGGACTTGAAATACTCTCACTCACCCCATTCCCATAGGTGGAGCTTTAAAGAAGAGTAAGCAGATACCCTGACACTTAGCAGTGCTGCAAAAGGCATTACAATTGTAGATTATCAGAAAACAGACAGAACTGTTTTGCAATTAAGTACTGAAATGCATTTCATGGCAGCAAAGCTTCTCTGTGGTTCAAGTAAAAGCCACAAATTTCATTTCCAGATCCAGCTGTTCATATGATACAATGTTAAAGAAAGTTTCTTTTTCAGCACAGATAATCCACCAGCAGTTAGCTGAGAGCCTACTATTCCATTTCAGGTTTGTTCAGCTGACATCAAAACATTTTATCTTGACCGGCTGAACAGAAGCATTCTGCAACAAGTCAGCTTAATATTCCTTTCCTTTTGCTCCTGGTGTTTTCCCAGTTGGTTTACTGGTTGTCCCAGTTGCACAAAGTTGGGTGCAGCAAACTGCAGTGCTTTGCAGACCGCCCCTATCATACACTTGGGGATTCTTGACTCAATATGTTCCCTACCAGTACTTTCTGTGGTAAACAAATTAATTTTGAGGTCTCTTTCTCCCAACCTGGAATGAAAACTAATGCTGATATATAAGGATTTCCCTTAAGAGAAAGCATCCAATTCTTGCACAGCAAACCTAGATATGAAAAAGCTTTGGTGAAAGCAGAGAGGAGGTTTTTAACCCAGGAAAGAATTACCTAATATTTAATTCCGATCAGTTCCCCAGTTTAGTTTTCTGCAGGGACAACTGTAGAGCTGTGCTGGTACAGGGGAAGGAAGAAGGAGGACACGTAGGGGGCACAAAATAGTGGCTGGATGCTGGTGTGACTTAATTAGTACTCATGATACTACAGCAGCAGAGAGGGAAGGTCAAAATGGGGTTTACCACAGAAATGCAGACACAACATGATGACGGGGAGACAATCTGTTCTCCATAATATTCCTATTATCCTAAGCAAACAGTGGACAAGAATGAAATGTACCATGGGGCTGTTCTGTTGTGTTTGTGTAAGAATGCCATTTTTATTCACTTTCACTGGTTGCTTTAAGTCAATACTTTTTAATAGATAAATTCTCATGTGAAATCTATATCCTGGCAATTTGAATCAAGATTGCCCCAGGTCAGACACCTGTAAAGCTGAACAGCAACAGAAAAGAATGGCACTTTTGTATTAACAGGCAAGAGACATTTCAAAGTCATTGTTTTTCCTGTTGCACCTTCAGAAGGCATAAAGAAGTACTTGTCGTGCCCATATAATGCAGTTTCTCATGGAATATCCCTCTTTACTCATGTCCATTCCCACTCACAGAGACATCTCGAGGAGACAGATTCTAGGGCAATTAGGCATAAAACAGACTCATGGTAAATCTGTCTACAAACAAACACTTCTGAAGATTTAATCAGTTTTTAAAGACTTAGGCTCCAGGTTCTTTGCCTTTCCCAGACTTTGGTCTGGTGAGATTCCTGTGGCTTAGTCACTGAAAGCTACAGTCAGGCAGGGGTTTGAGGGAGGGAGGGGTCTGGTCATCTGAAGTTTATGCCAACATAAAACTATTGCGGATGTCCACAACACTTAGCAAAATCTGTCTTTATCTTTAAAAATCCCTGTGCTTTGGTTTAATGGTGCACAATGTAAAACATGTGCTGTGGGTTCCTAACCACCTTCACCCCAAGCAGTGAAAGGAGGGAGAGAACCTCCTGAGCATCAGCAGAAGCAGATGGGGTGGCTGTTGGTTATCCTTTCCCACCTTTCCACCCCCTTACTGTCTCAAAGCTTGCTGCCGGTGCTGCAGGAGTGGCTTAACAGCTCATTAAATTCTTCCTGATCTACTATAGTTGATTGTCAGGTGCCAGGGAGACCCTCCTGCATCACTCAGTGAACATCTAATTCTAGCACTCTGAAGAAGGCAGTTCCAGGAGAGAGAGATGTTGTTGTATGTCTCTGCTGCAGCTGTGAGGATGCCTTCCTTTGCAACCAGCTGCTATGATTCCCTGAGCAATTCCACTATTTGCAGTAGAGCTACCAATTGTCTGGAAACACTAAAGAATTATAGATCCCAGGGCATAAAATATCTATCAACCTTAAATAAAATTGCTGTATATTATTACATAAGCTGAAGCCCTATTATTTTCCCCATGTTAATTGGCTCTTAATTGAAATCCCTGATTGTTTTTTCCAGGCTTCTCTCCAGCTCACCACCCAAAGATTAGCAATGCATGTAGTTACATGTTGTTGCATGCAGCAGTGTGAGGCAGGGATTTATTGTGACTATTTCACCAACCCCCTCTGCGGTTGGGTCTTCTTATTGAGGCAGAGGATCTTGCCAGACGTAATTAAAATTAAATGAGAAGAAATTTTTCCAGGGGCCTCCTTCCACAAATTACAAGTCTTATATACAGAACTCCATTTTGCAGCCCATAATCGCATTAGTAACGCCACTGAAGAGAACAGAGATCCTTGGGTGAGTAGGAGATACTCACACAAAAAAGCATTTCAGATTTGGTTACAGCCTAGGTTGGACACAGTCCAAATGGAACATTTCATACACCCTGGTCCTATTCATAATTTTGGGCAAAGTTCAAAAGGCAAAGTTTATCCTTTTAAGAAGTGATACCAACTACATATCTGATGAGCAAATTGTTTTCTATTTAAATATACACGGAGTGTTTCTAGCAACTTTATTCCACTAATGCCTTATGATTACAATCCTAAAATGAGCACTGTTTTTGCAGCTGACTGGTTAGAAATGAAATAAAGCCAAAGTATCTCTGTAAGGATGAGCCTTTTGAGTTGCACTGGTTGGTATGCATGCACATCCCCACAAGAAACAGAGACATATCTGCTGAACAGAACAGGATAGAGTCAGTTCTGGCACCAAGTCCTATTAAATGTAGTTCAAGTCCATGGAAATCTGGGATGTTCAAAATGAAAGCAGTACTGAGTACCTTGTTTCCAGTGCAACTTTCAGACAGGAGTGTCCTGAAACTATGGGTACAATGTTTGAAGCAAAGCTGTAACATCTGTAGGCAGTATGCCTGTGACATGTTTGGGGCTGACACAGAGGGATCATTCATACTACCAGAAGACATTACACAGAATTTCAGTAGAAAATGGGGCTCTCATCTGAATGTGATGACACACTGAAGCCCCTTCTTTGGCTCTGGCAGGAATCCCAGTAGTTCTATACCATACACTGCATACAGAGATTCATAAAAAATGCAGATGAGGTAGACTGGGGTACTGTGATATAAGTGCAAACCCCAGAGAGAAGCTTTCTTTCTCCTGAAGACCTCAATTCCCATCCCAGTTATCTGGCCCTGTTGCCCTCTGGCAGGGCTGACTAGAAGGCACAATTGTCAACAGCTGCTGAAATAGGCCAGAAAGAACACTTGACTGTGTTTTAAGACGTTTTGTAGGAAGGGACTGGAGTCATACAGACAAGATAGTTCAAAGTGGTATTAAAAGCTGAAGGTAGTACAAAATTCTACAATAAATCCTCTGAAGTGAGATTTTCAAGAGAGCATAAAGAAGTTAAGTACCAAAGTCACAAGTGGTTCTTGGGGAGCTAATATCTAGTTCCCTTGGGATCCTTTTGTTCACAGACAATACTGAAACAGCTGCAACCATTGTGGCCAAAATAGAGACTGTATAGCTCTCCAGAAAGAAAACCACAAGGTTTCAAACTGACTTGAGCCACAGAGTTATTCAGTACCATAAATGTATCTGCCTATATCAGTGTATGGAAACCACTATGTCACAGCCTGAATCAGTGATTTAGCACCTGGTGAAAGGGCATGGCCAGCCCTGGGAGCACAGGCGTGAGCAATTCCCTTGTGTGACCAGAAGGGGTGGACCCAGAGTCCTTCTTAACCAGATTTAAGGGCTGGCAATGAAAAGGAACAGATTTGTTAGGGGGGGATGGGGGGGATTGCCTTCTTTTGGAGTTTCCAGTAAGCCTTGATCCTCAGAAAGGGTAAGCTTTTCCTTTGTTACTAAATTGTGACCACTATCTTTCTTAGGTGATCTGAAGCTGGTTAAAGGTAATTGTATCAATGGTTTCTCTTCTTACAGCCACACACACCCATGAATGGTTGGAGCTGAAGGGCCCTGAAGAGTCATGATGCACTCTTCTGCTCAAATGGTTGACTTTTGGTCTTAACTTCTCTTGGGCAAGAAACCCATCCTTGGCTTGCTCTGAAGGGAACCAGGTCTCTGCAGCATGCTCTTCCTTTCAGAATGAATTACACCTAATTCTACAGTTCTGGCATTTTTTAGTGGTTTGTCATACTGACATCTTATGAGTGGTACCCAAAGTTTCATAAGAGAAGGGCTTTCCCCATCAAAAAGACAGCTGGAATGGCCAGATACAGCTTCTAGAAAATCTACCAGCCAAGTCCTTCCCAAACCCCCAAAATTATGTGATATTGCTACTTCCAGCAGAGCAAATTGACCAGAAAACCATAAGTAAAAGTTTACTTCCTATGAAGCCCTCTGGGACTACAGTACCGATCAGGACAACGTAAGTTCTTAGGACTGCAAGTGCAGAAAACAATGGAACAATGTTCAATCTTTAGTATTATTTTATTACAATGAATTCCCTATTGTATTGCAATATTTCCATGAGACTACTCTTCAGCCACTCATAGCCCTTAGCACACCCTCTTCACCTTCCCTTGGGACACCTGACATTTTTAACATCAGCAAATTTGAACGCGATTTATTCAGTTTCTTAAATATAGCACTTAAGTAGTTATAAAATACTGCCCCAATTCTTTTATATACAATAACCATTGTGCTTACGATGACTTAAGCCATGCATATTATTTTTTAAAAGAATTATATTTACATGGAATCTTTAAGAAAAGAATTTCCCAGATTCCGGAAGTAGACCTTCCTTTAGAACAGGAAGGAAATCGTTAATTTTTACCTTAAAACACAACAGGCGTAATGGCTTATTACCCACTGGGAAAACAGTGAAAGAGTTTGTTTGAAACTTGATGAGGTAGGTGTTTATATTAAGAGATTGTTCTGAAACTCTGTGCCACCAGAGAGTAGCTACACTAAGATCTTACCTCAAGCCCAAAGCATTTTAGTGATGAAGTCAGTAGTATCTAGGGTAGGAGGAACACCTGAGACACAGTGAACAACAACAATTTACTCAAAGACAGCAAGTTCACCTCAGAAGTCAGCAGCGATGCTGAGCACTGAAGTTGAGGCTCCTGATCCTCCTACTGGTCTAGCCATTATTCTTTCCTCACTTTTAAAGCAATAGGCACAAAGCCTTTTCTTGTAGTGATTAATCTCTCTTTAATGAACTGGGCTGTAGGGGTTCACTCCCTTACATTGTGAGGTTCTAGTATACATTATCATTGGACATTGAACTCAAGGAGATTTGAGAAGATTGCCTGTATCTCAGAACTTGATTACATTTTGGAAAGTCGATTTAGAAATCAGGAGAAGATAATTAAAAACATGTATAGCATTGCTGCCATGAGACCACTGTGTTCACATCTATTCATGTCTCTGAAGTGACTCTATTTCTGGAAATGCCAACAAAGATATGCAGGAATCTGAGGGAATAGGGAGTGTGTTTTCTAAAATTGTGTCTGGATTAGTTACTGAGGAGGTGAACCAACCAAACTCCAACATAAATGGCAAAGAAAAGCCGTTCGTCTTTAGCCCTGAAGGATTCAGCCCACTGTCAGAAGACTTGTGCCACTGCAAATGCTATTTTGTCCAGTGAAGTCTTAGGTGATCTTTGTTATCAGTGATCATTTGACTCACGTGACGAGGATGAAACCTACACTAATATCCTGGCCACGTAATGATTAGGGAAGTGCTGTCTAGTCCCTTTTACATTCCTGCTGGTGATTCAGTTCCCTTTGTGCCCTACTTTGCTGTGCAACCTTACTGATAAATAGGCAGCCTGCTGTGTTGCAGAGGTGGGTCTGTATTTCTACAATGGCGAAAGTAACTCTTGAATGTTATTGGTTTCTTTCATATGCAAGCTTCAAAGCAATTTGATCTCCCTCAGAAGCTGGGGAGAGATTAGTTCTATAAAATATTACTTCTGCTGTAGATGTACATCTATCTCCAGTGCCCAAAGGCAAACATGAGGGGAACTTCAGTCCTAGAACTGAACTCCAGCTATGTTCAGCTATGTTCCAGTGTGGAGTTTTGCACTTGGGCTGGAGGAATCCCAGGCATCCATACAGACTGGAAGGAGAAGTCCTTGAGAGCAGCCTTCGGAGGAGGACCTGGGAGTCTTGATAGATGAAAAACTTAACATGAGCCAGCAGTGTGCCCTTGCAGCTCAGAAGGCAAATGGGAGGGGAGATTTAGGTTGGATGTCAGGGGGAAATTTTTTTCAGAGAGAGTGGAGAGGTGTTGGAACAGGCTGCCCAGAGGGGTTGTGGATGTCCTGTCCCTGGAGATGTTCAAAGCCAGATTGTACGGGGCCCTGCGCAGCCTGGTCTAGTATTGAATGTGGAGGTTGGTGGCCCTGCATGTGGCAGGGGGGTTGGAGACTCATGATCCTTGAAGTCCCTTCCTACTCTGGTGATTCTGTGATTCTATGTTCATCACCTCATCTGTCATTTGATGGACTCTTGCCAATGGGCATTGACAACACACGCGCAAAGAGGAAGACAAAAACAAAAAAAAAACAACTTTCCAGCTAGTATTTTAAGGCTGTGAATAACGTGCCATTCCCAAGAAAGGACAAATATGGAAATTCTGAGCATGTGTTTTGTCTTTAGATTGATGTGGGGAAGGTGTGCCCCTGTGTGAATGGTCTGCCAGTATGAACGTTGCATTCCTCAGTCAGGAGGGTGGGAAAGAGGGAGCTACAGCTGGTGAATCACATCCTCTCCCTTGGTAGATCTGGCCACTTTGAGAGAACGCAGCAAAATGATTAGCAGTGGGGAAGAAAATTTGATGTTATGGTCTTCTCTGCATTGAGATATCTCAATGACTTTAAAGGATCTCTAGCTATATGTATGAAAACAAGCTCTGTGCTGGCAGTGATGACTCTGTGAGGTTTCGTATACCTCCATGAAGATCCACTGGGTAGGGAAATGGGCTGCACAGCACCTGATCTCTACACTTAGATTCTCACTTCTAGAGAAGTATCCACCTGTCTTAAGGATGAACCTGGACAGAAAGGCCAAATGGTAGTCAGGAAGCTGGTGTTCACTGAAAGCAGCACCTTCACACTTTTCATCGTGAACATGCTTCAATGCTTGTCACTTCAGAGCAATGAGTGAGCTGTCTTGAATTTGGTATTGAATATGTGAGTATGGAATAAAAGAGAAGTGCCTGCACCCTGAGCTAGATGAGTTCAGAACTGCTGGACCTCTGTGTTTCCTGGTTCTTCTGTCTTGCAAAGGACAAACAATTTGCCTAGCATGTGTAAGGCTCTCAGACCTGAGATTCTGGAGCAATGGATTTTTTTTCCTGATTTCTCTGGTATAAGATGTAGCTACTGCTACATTTTATGCTACTGCCCAGAAGTTGTGGATGCCCCATCCCTGGAGGCATTCAAGACCAGACTGGGTGTGGCTCTGGGCAGCCTGGTCTAGTGGTTAGTGACCTGCACATAGCAAGGGGTTGAAACTGGGTGATCTTTGAGGTTCTTTCCAACCCAAGCCATTCCATGATACTGGTTGCGTAGCCTCATCAGATCTTGGTTGGCACACACTTATTATAATCTCCTCTCTGGGATTTGTAGTTCTGAGAACTGGATACCATACCACAGGTCAGCAGCTTGGAGGGGTCAACACATCTGCACCCTTTGCATTTTTAACATCTGTGATTCAACACTTGTAAGAGTCATGTTTCATAAGAAACAGACAAAAATCACAAATTTGCTGCTGTTTGGTGTTGAGCTTCAAGAGGCAGAGCACCTATGGCATCTGCTTTGCTAGGGTTGGAGCTGCAGATCCTCTTACAGTGACTCACTGCAATCTCAGTTGTATCAGGCTAAAGTTTTGCAGAACATTAGAGTTAGACATACCAGTGTATGACTGGACACTGATTCAGAGTTTGTCTGACCTTGTTGTCAGGACTTGGAAAGCAAGTGGTTTAGGGAAAAGGGAGAATTGGATTGAAGTCAAAGTCATTAATATCCTTCTACTTGAAGAAAGAGCCCTGAGAGCAGGGGAGCAAGTAAGTTCAAGCATACATTAATGTACTGAGATATAATAGCCACCAGGCAGAGCTAAAGTCACAGAGCAATATCTGCCTTCTTTTTTTCCGCAGTCCCAACTGAGGAATTCTCATATAAGCAGAACTCTGTTTCTGGGCAAAGACTAATCCATATTTATGACCCTCTGAGGCAGAGTGAAGCAAGCTGCCAGATGCTGGGTGGAGGCAGCTGAAAATGAACTACTCTGGGCCTCAGGGGTATCAGGTATCCCCACCACTGTGCCACAGAGGTGTGTGCTACACCAGAGCTACGTAAGGGGTGGCTGTGAGCATGAGTACTGCTGGGCTTCTGGGGGTTCACAGTGCCGATGGAGTACCCTCCTCTCCGAGCTGCAGGGTTTTGGGGCTCTGAACCATTCTGTTGTACTTTTTCCCTGTGGGGGAGCAGGGGCACTTGGTAAATGGAGAAGGTTTCAAATGGGTAGTCCTTTTAAATGTCACTCCCATACTCTGTTATCAAACCAAGAAACCTCTTCCCTTGCCACTGTGCAATGCTAACTCCTTTTGAAACCATTGGTGAGAATGTCAGTGCTTTTACTGGCAGATCCTTGAGAAACCACAGGGAAATATATTTTCTTAAATACATGAGTTTTTTCACAAATCTGATAGGAACGTCTCCATCTAGTGGTCTGGCCAGGGCAGTCTGTCTTCGCACTGAAGCTTGCCATTCTACCCAGCATGAGTCCATTCTCTCTCATGCGCTTTGTCTTTTCCAGCTGTACATCGATATTACAACATTTCCCAAACTTCCAGGGGGTCCTGTTAATGTCAGGGAAAGGCCTGGAGATTCTTGGCTGGACATTCAGCCATGAGCTGCAGCCCAGATTTCCACCCACTTGGCTTAGCCAGAGCAGAAGGGGATCAAATTGTCATCTCAACATCTGGTTTGAATCCACCAAGAAGGATGCGTAGTGTGACACACAAATACATGCATACACAAGCACAGACATTGTGCTTAAAATATTGGGCTGTTGTTTCAGAAGGCAGAGGCGTCAGTGACGGGAAAATTTGGCTGTCCATGAATTTCTAACTACTACCTATTTGGCAGCCCAGTTAGCCCAGCAGAAGGGAGGCAGAATGAGGAGGTAAATGCAGGTCCTCTGTGCCCCAGCCCGGCCTGTTCACTGAACTCATGTTTACTGACTCTCCCTGGAGCCTGGCAGTGGGTCCAGAGCAAAGCTGCAGCTCGCTATAAACAGAATAATGTAGCTTAATTTCCCAGAGTTTGTGTGAAGTAGCATCTCAGCCAGAGGACACAATCGGATACCTCAACAGTTGTCACCAAGTGTAATGATGAATTGCCTGCTAGAAGGTAGATTTTATCCCATGTGGCAGATAGGGAACAAGTCATAAAGATAGCTCACAGGAGTGCAGAGGGGAGAGGGGTCAGGTCCTCTTGGTAACCAGGCAAAGTGCATCTCCTGCTGCAACATCTTTGCCACAAATGGAGCAATTTGAGGGGCAGCCAAAAGGGGAGAGCGGAAATAGACAGGAACGTACAGAAAATGGCAGGAGCTTTGTACAATGTAAGCAGAGACTTTAAAGACGGAAAAAGCAGCTCCAGTCAAACAGAGCTCTGAATTTCCCTCTAGACATAGGGTATTAAAAATAATCCCAGCTGAACTTTGCCCACCTCTCTCACAGCATCTCCCAGCAGCTACAAAAATAAACGGCTCTGTCTGGGTGGAGCTGCAGCCACACACGATTGGGAGTGCTGGACTAACCCAACTGATTGCAGAGACAGCGAGCAGTGCTCCCCCAAACCAGCTGTCTGGAGTCTGCCACGTGCATCTTGTGGCTGTGGAATCAGCTGTCCCAAGGATAAGACATGGTAAAATGTAGCATGGGACCTGCTGCTTCTTGCAGTCTGCAGCCTGGGCTCACTCCTGCCCCAACCCCAGTGCAATATACAGCCACAGCTATTCCCCTCTACCTGCATTCTCCTTCTCATTATGTCACTTTGCCCTGAAGCCACAGACAGCCCCACTTGCACACAGCTATTTCATAGACATAGAATCATTAAGGTTGGAAAAGACCACTAAGTCCAACTATCAATTCATCCCCACCATGCTCACTTACCAATTCACTCAGTGCCATACCTATGCGTTTCTTGGGATGGTGACTGTGCCACCTCACTGGGCAGACTATTTCAATATATTACCACTCCTTCTGAGAAGTTATTTTTCCTTATATCCAACCTGAACCTTTCCTTATCTCTCCTCTCACTAGATGTGGGCATCTTGTGAGGACATTCTTTAAGGTAATCCTGTGTTCTTTCAACAGTGGTGCTTTCCCTCATCTCACCTAGAACCCACATGGAGCAGCACCTTTCCAGGTGCCCCAAAATACAACCTCCACACCACAAGTTGCCAGAAAGCACAGACAGAATCGTATAATTGTTAGAGTTGGAAGGGTTCTCTAAAGGTCATCTAAGTCCAACTCCTCTGCAATGGACAAGAATACCTAGAGCTAGATGAGGTTGCTCAGAACCCCACCCAGCCTGACCTTGAATGTTTCCAAGGATGGGACATCCACTGCATCTCTTGAAATCACATTTTAA